TCTGTGGTTGCTTTTCGCTTCACGAGAGGTGATACAAGAATCACTGGGGGAGAACTTTTTGGGCACACTTTTTGCTGTCCTTTAGCTGTATTGAAAGACAAGTGACTCTCTGATTCAAAAAGCACCACTGTTCCTGAATATTTTTCACAGTTTCGTACATGTTTATACAGGGCTGTGACAGTGAAAATTTTTATAACTGCAGTGGGAAGACCGCCGGTGTTGCAGTTGCAGTGGTTTTGTTTACTCAAAACTGAAAATTCATTCTGTCATTAATTACTAATTATTAATTAATTATTAGAGACAAAGATGGCGGCGCCCGGTACGGCAGCGGCTACTCCGGCTCCGTGTAACGATGTGCGTTTTATGTTAAATGTGTCGTCTGAATCGTCTCAGTCATGTACGAGAAAAGTCTACAACAGAGACCTACTGCTTGGTCTACGAAACACGAACTTTTCAAACGATTTCTCTGGAATTATGTTTGCTTTGGATCACAAAATTCTCGACGAGCTAGGTATCCTACGACTGCAAGACCCAGAGGCCTGCAAAGCAGTGGTCTCCCCTCCCGATACTGGCCGATGCTCGAGGCGACGTAAGCGGTGGGAGGGACGTAGCACTCGTCGCAAGCGGTGTGCTAGACCTAGCAAGCGAGAGAGTCGAGCGGGTATTAGCGCAAGGCTAAAAGCTAAACCATACAGACCTGCACTTCCTGCGATTCTGCTTTCCAACGTTCGCTCGCTGGAAAACAAAATGGACTATCTCAGATTGGATCTAAATACACAAAAGAAGGTGAAAGATTGCAGCGCCATCGTCCTCACCGAGACATGGCTTAACCACAGCGTTCCAGATAACGCTATTCAGGTGGACGGACTAACAACATTCAGAGCGGACAGGAGTCACGCACTCACTGGTAAGCTACGAGGTGGTGGAGTGGCAATCTACATCAATAACAACTGGTGCACAAATGCTAAAGTTCTCCGAAGTCACTGTTCTGAAGACATAGAATTTTTAACAGTTAAATGTCGTCCAGTATACTTGCCAAGAGAATTCTCAGCCGTGACTATTACAGCCGTGTATATACCGCCCAGTGCGAATACAAAAGACGCACTTACTACATTGTATCAATCTGTGAGCTCGATGCAGGACTCAAACCCGGACTATGCCTGTATAATCGCTGGCGATTTTAATCAGGCCAAACTAAAGACAGTACTCCCACACTTTTATAAATATGTGGACTTTGCAACCAGGGGAGAGAACATTCTGGACCAGGTCTACTCAAACATCAAACAGGCCTACAGAGCTGTTCCCCACCCCCATCTGGGTAACTCGGACCATCTTTCTGTTATACTTATGCCATCTTACAGGCCACTGTTATTGAGAAACAAAGCTTCTGTGAAGCAGATCCGAACCTGGCCAGAGGGGGCCACTTCAGCCCTCCAAGACTGTTTTGACTGCACAGATTGGGCTGTTTTCAGGGAGGCTGCCACTTCCAACCAGCTTGTTAATATAACGGAATACACTGAATCTGTGACAGGATATATATCCAAATGCATAGAAGATGTGACCGTCATAAAACACATTACCACAAGGGAAAACAATAAACCATGGTTCACCAGGGAGGTTTGTGAGCTTCTAAAAGCACGGAATGTAGCTTTCAAGTCCGGAGACAAAGAGGCCCTCAGAATTGCCAGGGCCAACTTGAACCGGGGCCTGAGAGTAGCAAAGCGTGCCTATGGACGAAAAATCCAGTCACACTTTACTGACATAAATGACCCCAGACGCCTCTGGCAAGGCATCCAGTCAGTAACAGACTACAGGCCTATACCTCCACCGTGTGAGGACAGCACAGTCTTCTTAAACTCACTCAATTCATTCTTCAGCCGTTTTGAGGAAAACAACAACATCATTCCAACAAAAGCTCCACACTGTGTGGACGATGTAATACTTCAACTTGACCCTGCTGATGTGAGGAGGACCCTTCAAAAGGTCAACCCCTGGAAGGCTGCTGGTCCTGATAATATACCTGGGCGTGTGCTTAGAGACTGTGCAAACTCACTTACAGATGTTCTCACAGATATTTTTAACATTTCTCTGAGTAAAGCCATTATACCAGAAAGCTTCAAAGCTACTACTATCATCCCGCTACCTAAGAAATCACCAGTCACAACACTGAACGACTACCGGCCTATAGCACTTACGTCCATCATAATGAAGTGCTTTGAAAGGCTGGTTAAGGCTCACATAACATCTAGCCTACCTGCCACATTTGACCCTTTCCAGTTTGCTTATCGTTCCAAGCGTTCCACTGATGATGCCATAGCAACAGCACTTCACCTCAGCCTGGCTCATCTGGAAAACAAAAACAGCTGTGTGCGGATGCTGTTCATTGACTTCAGCTCTGCCTTTAACACAGTCATACCACAACACCTGGTGGGAAAACTCAGAGCTGTAGGCATCAGCACCCCACTGTGCAACTGGTTATTAGATTTTCTCACCAACAGACCACAGACAGTAAGAGTCGGTGAAAACTCCTCACAGACCATCATCATGAACACTGGGGTCCCTCAAGGATGTGTGTTAAGTCCTCTGCTGTTCACACTGATGACTCATGACTGATACAACTCAAATCACATCATCAAATTTGCAGATGACACGACAGTTGTGGGCCTCATCAGCAACGACGACGACTCGGCCTACAGAGATGAGGTACATCAACTCATCAACTGGTGTGACACTAATAACCTACATCTCAATGTAAATAAAACAAAGGAAATAACTGTGGACTTCAGGAGGAATCACAGGTCACACCCCCCCCTCACCATCTATGGCAGTGTGGTAGAGTCAGTGAAAAGCACCAAGTTCCTGGGGGTGCATATTACCAATGACCTGTCTTGGTCTACCAACACCACCTCTCTGGTCAAGAAAGCTCACCAACGCCTCCACTTCCTGCGCAGGATGAAAAGAGCTAACCTCCCTCCACCGGCACTCACTACCTTCTACAAAGGTGCCATTGAGAGTATTCTCACCAGCAGTCTCTCAGTCTGGTATGGTAGCTGCTCTGCTGCTGACCGGACAGCTCTACAGAGGGTGGTGAGGTCAGCTGAGAAGATAATCGGATCAGCCCTACCATCCATTCAGGACATATACCCGCTCCGTTGCTACAAAAGAGCTACAAACATCATCAAAGACTTCACCCATCCCACACATAAACTGTTCACTCTCCTACCATCTGGGAAACGCTACAGCAGTATGCGTTGCAAGTCTACTAGACTCATAAATAGCTTTTTTGCTCAAGCTATTAGACTGCTCAACTCACTCATGAAAACTGGATTATAAAATCACAATCCACAGCCCACACACACAAAAATCTGTGGAACTGTGAGAAAAGCAAACTCAATGTTTTTATATTAATATTCCTTGCACGTGTAACATGTTTACAAAATACACTTACCTCTAAGCTGCTACTTTGCACTTTTGCCATACTGCACCTAATTGCACTACAATAAATACCTCAACTTGGTCATATTCTGGAACAATAGGATATATGGTAACTGTTCACAGTTTATTAGTGTCTATTATTTAATTCATCTTGTACTATATTAGTTAAATGTTTAGTTTATGTCTAGTGTGTGTCATATTTTTGTTTTTTAAATTGCACATTGGAGTATGGGAGAAACGCAATTTCAGTCTGCTGTGTAATGTACTGTTGCATGGTTTGATTGACAATAAAGTTGACTTGACTTGACTAATCTTTTATTATAACATTTTTTAATATGAAAATACAATAATGTATGAAAAATGTGAAATTAAAGCAATAGTCCAGAGAGCTGGTTTTCCGCGTCAGTTCAGGTGCACCGTTTATAGCCTTTAAAGTGTACACGTGGCGGCGGAGGCTGGACTAGCGAAGGTCCAGCCGCCTAATTCATTACATGTTTTGGCTAACTAATTCTTTAAATACAACTCTCTTGAGCTCCTAAGGGAAAAACTCAGAAAAAGTTTTCTGTTAAATTAATTTTAGCAGTGACACAACTGACAGTCACTTTCACTTTAGTTTTTCAGTTAGGATAAATATTAGGAGTAACCTAAAACAAATTTTAGTTAGACACTGCACAGTCCTACAATAGTCTACACTATAGTTAATATTATAATATCATTTCATATCATATCATTATATCATTTTCATCAATATTATTAAAACTAAGCTATAAAATTGATAAAACGCAGAACCCTTAAAAATATTTGCTTTCATTTTGACATCTCTAAAGCGCACTTTTACAGTTGTGTAAAGAAACATCCCATTATGCAGCAGCTGTCTCAAGTTGGAACACTTAAAAAAATGACATAACATAAGGAAACATAGAAGCGTTGCCCAGATAGGACACGATAATAAACTTCAACTGGCGCGCTGAGCTGAATCAAAACAGCTGAGTACCGTCATAACATGTGACCATAATAAATACACGTGGACAACCTAAACAAAACAAACCTACAAGACAAAACAGGCACTCTGGACATCTCTGTTTTGCTACACCAATGCCTTAAAATGTAACTAAGTAACACATTTAGCTACTATTTTTTTAGATGACATTAAATTGTAACATTTACCTTTTTCCTAACGCTGATATTGGTGTGAAAATGAAGCATGATGACTCGGTTATGATTTATTTACCTGTTATATAAAAAGTGGGTTTGCTTGCTGGTGTAGGCATAGTTTGACATATTTTCCTAAAACTTTAAACATTTATGTTATTTAGAAAAAAACAGAAAGAAATAAGGAGAATAAAATATAATTTAAACCACTCGTTTGGCACTGAAGCCACGATCCGTGTCTGCGTAAATAAACAGTGTTGTTGCTAACCTTTATTAATAAAGTCAGTAATAGCGAAAGTGTGCATAGCCTATTATTATAGCTATAAAAAGTATATTACTGGTCTAAGTCAGTAACTTGCATCTAAATTGTCGGTGAAATGTTGTCACCCCTGATGCTTTTCTCTTAATTATAGGGTGATGGCGTTCAGGATGAAAAATGCTCCAAGATCTTTTCACAGTGTTGGCTGGTGTTCCCAATCCCGAAGCATACTTGGATGATGTGGTTTTATACAGCTCCACATGGCTGGAACACATAATTTAACTGGCAGAGGCTAAGCTTACTTTGAACTTGGCAAATGTGAATTTGGTAAAGCCGCTCTTGTCTATTTGGGTAAAGTAACTGGTGGTGGTGAAGTGTGCCCATTTGCTGCTAAGGTTATGGTTATTTGTGATTTTTCCTCGTAAGCAAATATGTTGTTTTTTAGGTAAGGTAGGTAACTACCATTCGTTTTGTATGAAATTTGTCATGGTTGTTTCTCTTTTAACTGACCACCTAAGTCTGACGATTGAGTTTGAGTGGTCCGATGCATGCCAGTATGCATTTGAGAATATTAAATCCTTACTGATTTCAGCTCCAGTGTTGGCTGTCTCTGTTCATTTGAAGCCATTTAGTCTAGCGGTGGATGCAAGCGATGCAGGAGCTGTTCTGCAGCAAAGGGTTGCTGATAAAGTGGAATACACAGTTTGTTACTTTTGAAAGAGGTTTACATCTGCACCACGGATGTATTCTGCTATTGAAAAAGAGGCTTTAGCAATGGTTCTTGCTATTCAACATTTCGAGAGTTATTTGTCAAACTGTCATCCGATTGTTGTAGATTGTGACCATAACCCACTCACCTTCCTAAATTCTATGCGTTTATAACTATTTTTGTAGTGTCATTAAAACGTGGCTTCTTGTCTTAAACGATGACTCAAGCTTTCATAGTATTACTTTTAAAAAAGGAAAAAGATCCCACCTCTTGTAACTCCTATAGGCCCTTTTCATTAATAAATGCTGATGCTAAAATGTTGGCTATTCATGTTGAAAAGATACTTCCATATGTATATCTGAATTGCAAAAAGGTTTTATGTATAGGAGACATGTGTTCTTTAATGTTCCTACTCTTTTATATATATATATTCCTACCATTTCTCTGTTGTCACTGAGGTTGTAATTGCTCTTGATGCTGAAAAAGCATCTTTTAGATGAATGGTCATATCTCTTTGTTGTATTTAAAAAAATTGGGCTTGTGAATAATTTTATTTTATGGATTCATCTCTTATATGCTCACCCCAGGCCAGCATACCCACAGATGGTATGCATTCACAATACTTTAAATTAGGCCGGGGTACACAGCAGGGATGCCCACTCTCCTCTCTAATATTTGCCCTGGCTGTTGAGCCACTGTCAATTGCCTGACGTTCATCTGTTTCATTTGAAGGAATCTCCCGTTCTGATATTGCAACTGAATTATCACTTTATGCCGATGACTTTTGGTATTATGTCTGTAACCCGATCACTGCCATTTCTTCTATCATTTCCTTTCTTAACAAAATTTGCTCATGTTCTGGTTGTAAAATTAATTTTCAGAAGAGTGAGAGTTACCCTTTTAATTCTTTGGCATTGCAACTTAAAGACTCTAATGTTTCATTTAGGCTGTGTAAATCTGGTAACATTTATCCCAAGATGTTTAAAACCAGATCTCTTTCATCTCTCTTCTCCACTAATTATTCTCCTTTTTTGGCTCAATCTAAATCTGACCCCCAAAGGTGGCACAATCTTCATTTCTTCCTTAATTGGAAGAATTAACACAGTCAAAATGAATATTCTCCCTAAATTATTATTTTTATTTTAGCGTATTCCGTTGTTTTTGCCAAATAGCTTTTTTAAGTCTATTGACCAAATTGTTACACCCTTTCTGTGGTATGGTAAAGTACCTTGTATTCTTAAACTTGTACTTGAAAATTGTAAACTGTGTGGGGTTATCTCTACCCAAGTTTAAGTTTTACTTCTGGTCAGCTAACATTCATAAGATTATGTTTTGGTTTAACTCATCTTATGCTCCCAGATGCAAATTAGACGCAAAATCATGTCTTCCCACTCCTTTACAGGCCTTACTTACTGCCGCTTTACCTATTAATGGCTCCAAGTTTACAGATAATGTAATTGTCTTATCAACCCTTAGGATTTGGTCTCAATTTAGGTCCCGTTTTAAGCTAAATCCGCCTCTTCATTAATGCCACTATCCATGAATTACTTGTTTCCTCTATCAGTCACTGACCATGCTTTATGGTGTGGCAAGAGATACTGTAGGTTTACTATGTTTCAGAGGTTTGTTTAAGGATTGTATATTCTGCACCAATGCAATGTTTTCTTCTGAATTAGAACTGCCACCTTCACATCTTTTCTGTTATTTTCAAACCAAAGCTGTTTCTTTATTTCTATATTTTCTCTGCCTATCACGGAAGTTGGTAAGGGAGAATTTTCTTCTGAATAAAATTTTTGAAAAGGCACTATTTTCAAGGTCTTATTGTCAGCTTATTGATTTAGCGGACTGTACTAATGCTGAAATTAAAAGTTGGGTGAATTAAAAGAAACTTGTTGGGTAAATTGTTTGAGGTTGACTGGTGGGTAAATGCCGTGCACCACTAATATATGCTTTTATTTAATATAATATTTCTAAATAATATATACAATAAAATAATTAATATAATGTATACATTTAAAACAATGACGAATTTAACTTAGCACTGGGTTACTATTATGGCCATCGTACAACTTTTTTTCCTTTTATTATTTTATTTATTTTTATAGCATTACTGTCATTAGTAATTTTGTAAAGTTTAAGACTAAAGTAGTAAAAAAAAGAAGTGAAATGAAAAAATGGAGATGCCATTTCTGAGTGCAATATTTTTTATTGAACAAAAAGAAAATGTACATACAATACAACAGTAAACATCACATTACAGTGAACATTAAACATACAGTTTGGTACCTTCTATTTTACTGAGACCCAGAAGGGACATGATGGTGGGAAAAAAAACTCAGTGGGAGGAAAATATCTATTTTTAAGTTTTTACCTCCCAGGGTTTTGTTTTCCCTCGCAATAGTTTTGCGTTCCCTGGCAAAGATCTTTTATGTTCTGTCGCAACACTGTTGTTCCACAAACACTTCCTGTTCACTTTATATTTAAAAAATGTCGGTAATTTGTATGTACAGTTCAGCATGTACCATGTACATGGTTGATGTGCATATTGTGCATTCGTCTTGCAGTGGTTGAGAGCTCTGCACATCACTATGGTGCTTTCACATAGCATTTCTTCATTCGGCACTGGGTTGCTTACATGGTCGCCGAACATTTTTTAAAATTTTTTATTGCACAACTACCATTAGTATTTCCAGAAAATAACAAAATATTTATTGATAAAATAAATTAATAAAAAATACAATAAAAATATGGGGATGCCGTAACAGCTGATGAATCAGTCGGTCCCTGAGTCTGGGGTCTTGAAGATTTCTGGTCTTGAGGTGGCACAGGGTTGCTGTCATGGCTGGCTACAACTTCCTTTTTTAAGTGTTTATGTTTTTTTTAAAACTACTATCATCAGTCATACTAAAATATACAATAATATCTAAAGAAAAAACTAACAAGTAAAAAGAAGGGAATATTAAAAAATGAGGGATCCTCTGACTGCTGATGGACGATGCGGTTCTCGGGTGCAGGTCTTTCCAGGTCTTCAGGCTGAAACAAAAACAAAATTGAGGTCTGCTATTTAATGCATTATTAACCAAAGAACATCTAAAAAAGATTTTTAAACAATTATGAAAATTTAGGAAGATAAAAAAGAGTGCAAATATTAAAGAATGTTCAGAATGTAAATAATACCGTAAACCAGTCATGGAGACTCAGTTTCTCAAGTTCAATTCGCTGCTCTGGCTCGATCTGGAGACAGCAGCGGATCAAATCACAGCATTCTGTGCAGAAAGAAGAGAGAGAGCTCAGATTTACTCCACAACTTAATTAATAAATAATAGTTTGTATTATTCAGATTGACCTCTTTCCTTGACCCAAATAGAGATTTTACCTTTTGTCAAGTGATCTTTGGTCCAGATGTTACGTCTGATCATTTGCAGGTCGTGTCGATTTGGAAAATCTCCACACATCATCACATAAAGGAGTAGCCCAAGAGACCACACTGTCGTTGTTTTACCGTGGTACTCGCCAGTTATCCGATACTCAGGTGGGACATAGTCATCTGTGCCTGAATGAGAGAGGTTTTAACCATTAGTCATTAGTCACCAGATCGACAGTATTAATCGATTAGTGGACTCCATTCTATGATGCTATGTGAGAGCTTGACTCACTCAGAGTCTATTGTGAACTCATCACTACAGTTTGAGACTCAATTCCCAGTTTAAGGGATCATACATACCAGCAAAACTTGTGTAAGGAGCATCGGTGAGGATTTCCCCGCATCCAAAGTCGATCAGTTTGATTTCGAGGGTGTCCGGGTTGATCAGGATGTTCTCCATCTTGATATCGCGATGAAAGACTTTGCGTCTGCAGCACGTTTGAGCTGCAAATATTACCTGCCACATGATCAACCGTGCCCCATCCTCATCGATGATCGACTCTTGGCGCAGGAGAAAGGAGAGCAGCTCTTCAGAGGGCATAGGCCGCTCTAGGACCATGATGTATTCGTCCTCATCCACGCGCCAGTCCAAAAGCTTAATTATTTCCTGTATTGCGGGCTCTTGGTTTGCAAGAACTAAAAGAGCAACCTCCATTGGAAGTGATTCCGGATAGCCGTCCTGGAAGAAATATATTTGTTATGATGATTGGATGGATATTGTGTAAAACATGATGACAATTACAGTTTGTCTAGTGATTTATAGATACTTAAAGTGAAACAGTGAATGAGAGTTGAAGAGCACAGCATACTTACAATGTCGATGAACTTGACGTTCTCGGTGTAGGCAGTTTTAATTGCCACCTGCTCAACAGAACAAAGAAAGCATGTGTTATAGAATTATACACAATTATTGTGTTCAGAGTTCACATTTGTCCAATGCTATCTCATGGCAATTTGTCACTTTTTGATTTAGTGGCTGATTCGTATGAATTTGTACAATCTCATTCTTGTAATTTGCTTATCCAGGTTGACATTTGGGTTTAGGGCTGGAGTTTGGTGCCACGCATCCTTTTAAAAATCACATTTTTCATATGAATGAACTCATAAATTCATACCAATTAGCCACTAAATGACAAAAGCTAAAATAGTTCAGTTTTCTCTTGAGATCAGGCTGATTTTCAGTCATTAACACTGAACAGTTTAACAAAGTAGCAGTTTAATTTATCCCAAAAATAAGAATCACATATCTATCTATTATTTTTTTATCTGATACTCTGATATAAAGCGGTGATAAAGATAATAATTGATGATACCTGAAGGCCATCCTCTAGTCGGGTTGCAGCTTGAACAAGTCCAAAGCCTCCTTTACCCAGCAGAACGCCAAGTTCATAAGAGGATGAGTTGATGACTGTCAAAAGAAAAATCAAAGATGTTGATATAAAATGTCAATCAGTAGAGAGTTTATTTAATCCAAGACTATTGTCTGATTCATATACGCACTCAATATTTGTACTTAAATTAACACAAAACAGGACAGTTTAAATGAACTGTAGTAGTTATAGAAATATTTATGCTTCATGTAAAATATACATATTCAACGCACACACATAAACAAATGAACAATGAAATCTTGTTGAATGTGGAAAAACCGTTGTGCTATTTATCATCTATTATTAAACAAAACACATAAAACATTTGAGTGCTGATTAAATATTGACATTAATAAAGACATTGCCATAAAAGTGTGTGTGTGCATGCGTGTGCTGGGTTAACTACCAAACTGACCCATTATTTCGCTGCTCTTCTTCTCTTCGTTGGTCTGAAACAGAAACAGAAATCATATTTAGTGTCATCACACAACCTGCATAAAACAAATATAGGCAACATGCCTAAAGTAAAGAAAGTGGACATTAAAGAACATGAAGAATGAATATAAAATAGTGTATTAGGACTGACTATACAGCTTTACATAAAACTGTAAATCTAATGCGTATTGTCTACTAACTTATCAAATCAAAAATATTAAACTCATTAACATGTATTTACCTTAATCCAGCTGTGGCGGTTGAGTCGCTCCAGTTTAATCCGCTCTCTGGGGTCTATCTTGAGACAACAGCGCATAAAATCGCAGCATTCTGTGCAGAAAGAAGAGAGAGACATGATCAACTTGAAATTTATTTTTTAGTAATTTAAATTACAACTGTTCTGTGCTGAAAGGAAGATCTCACCTTCTGACAGGCCTTCTATGTCTTTATTCATGATCGTATTCAGTTCTCGTCTTGTTGGAAACTTCCAGAAAAGCATTACAAACAAGACTATTCCGAGAGACCACACTGTCGCTGGTTCTCCGTGGTATTTGCCAGTCTCCAGAAACTCAGGAGGACGATACTCCGCTGTGCCTGGAGGAAAGAGATTTTGTTTCAGTTAACAAGGCATGTTTAATTGAATATTCATTACTAAGCAAGAATTCTCTTGATTCACAACAGTGAATTACTTCATGAGAGCTCAAGTCATGACCACAGTTTAAAGGGATTATACATACCAGAATAGTCTGTGTAAGCCTCATCTTCGAGGATATCCCCGCACCCGAAGTCAATCAATTTGACCTCAAGGGTGTCCGGGTTGATCAGAAGGTTCTCCAGCTTGATATCTCGGTGTAACACTTTTCTTTGGCAGCAAGTTTGAGCTGCGAATACGACCTGTTTCATGATGAACCGTATGTCATCTTCATCAATGGGCCCAACATAGCTTTCTATGAAGTTGTTCAAGGGCTGACAGGGTATGGGCCGTTCCAGGACCATGCAGTAGAAGTCACGTTCCACCTTCCAGTCCAGAAGCTCAATAATTTCAGGAACCCTTGGGCCTTGATTCACAAGGGTTTGAAGAACAATTTCTATTGGAAGTGGTTGAGCAAAACCATCCTAGAAGAAAGAAGGTTTTTATGATGAATCAGTGGTAAAAGAATTGAAATCAGATGATTGTCTACTAAAATATCATTTGCTGTCTGTGATTAAAGAATTAATTCACCCAATTATGTTATTAAAAACCGTCATGCTGTTTCAATACTCTGACAGCTTCTTTCATCTTAGCAACACAAATCCCTCATCCTTCATCAATAGCAATGAGATGCTCAAAGTCCAGAAAAGGAACCAAAACCTTTGTTTTTTAGTCTTAAAAGTGTTCTTGGAGCTTTGTATGTAGAGTTGATCTCTAGGATTTAATCAAAAATATTTAAACTTGTGTTCTGAAGATGAATAAAGGTCTCGGGGGGGGGTTGGACTGACATGAGGGAAAGTAATTAATAACATAACTTTATTTATGGGTGAACTCATCCTTTAATGTTAGCATGACGTGTTTGAAATGTAAAATTGTGGAACAGAGGAGAAACAGAGAGCACAGTTTTCTTACAATGCGGATGAACGTTGTGTCGAACATCGAGCAGTATTTCACTGCAACCTGATCAACAAAACAAAAGAGTGGATGTGTTAGAATTATGAGCAAAGGCAATGGTGAGACCAGAATAACAGGACAAAAATGATTGGCTAGATTAATATTGCTGTTCAGATTCATACCTGAAGTCCATCATCCAAACGAGTCGCTGCATAGACGGTTCCAAAACCTCCTTCACCGAGCTCATCACCAACTTCATATTGGCGTGAATTGATGACTGTTAAAGAGAAATCAGAGATGAGGGAATAAAATGTGACAGCACTTACTACTACTAAATCCAATTAAGAGCTTCTTTTTATTTTCTAAAGACAAATTAGCTGAATATTAGTTATCAACAACATTTAAACAATCTGTATATTGAAGTCAGTCTGAAGCACAGCCCACTAAACTGTAGGGGTCTAACTATTCGCACCTAACCATTTCGGTACGGGATTTTGAGTTCAGTCAGTGTGTATAAAATATGGACAAAAAGACATTTGAGGGGAAAAGTGACACTGCTGGATGTAAATGCTCAGTAGTGCTCTTCTGCAACACTGCACTGACAAACACATCTGTGCATGAATGAACAAGAGTGAGTACAACAACTTCCCAAATATTCACAGTGTTCCAGAATTCAGCATTTTCTGAATAAAGGTGAAAAATGTTTCATTAGAAACGTAAATGTTACTGGTGTTTTCTTCTGTCAGATAACATTTGGCAGAGTTTTTAGTTTTATTTTTATTCATGCAGCAAAGGTTTAATAATTTTTGTCCATTTTTTTTTTAATGACTGAAAAATCCTAATATATATTCTAATTTATTTGTATATTGATATATGTAGAATTCACTTTTTGTCACATTATTAGTCCTCTAACTTTTATGTTTGTAATAGTAATAAATGGTAAAAAAAAATTAACAAGCATTTTTTAAGTTTTGCTTGTTTTTTTATTTCAAACTGTAATAAAATTGAACAGAAATATTTATCCTTACACCCTACTAAATTGAAGTAAACCTGTAAATGTTCACTGAATTACTGAATGAGTGTCAAGGTAGCAAACTTACCGAAAATTGTTTTCTCCTTCTCCTGAGGAACTGATGGCACTGCAGCTTGAAGGACATCATCCTCACTACAGTCGGACCTGGCACAGGCTGTAGGGACGTCGTCAACACTTTGAGCTGCAGCATGGTCTGGAGTTTGGAGGGTCAGTTCAGTGCTGGGAGATTGGAGGACATCACTGTGGTCGTCAACACGGACTGGACAACCACTGGTGCTTAGTTCCTCCGATAACAGGTATTCAGTCCTATCATCAATATCTCGACCTAAAAAGAGAAAAATATGTAATAACTAAGGATTGTTTTATTTAACTTTTTTTAATGAAATGTTAATTAGCCATGTTAAAGTGTGCTGTACATTTTGAAGTGAGTATTTGGGGTGTTGTAGCCCCAAAATGTCAGAATTCTGAAGTCAGAATTATTAGCCCCCCTTTGATTTTTTTTCTTTTTTAAATATTTCCCAAATTATGTTTAACAGAGCAAGGAAATTTTCACAGTATGTCTGATAATATTTTTTCTTCTAGAGAAAGTCTTATTTGTTTTATTTTGGCTACAATAAAAGCAGTTTTAAATTTTTTAAACACCATTTTAAGGACAAAATTATTAGCCCTTTTAAGCTACTTTTTTTTCGATAGTCTACAGAACAAACTTTTATGTTTAGAAATGTGTTGAAAAAAATCTGTTCTTTATTAAACAGAAATTGGGAAAACAAATAATCAGAGGGGCTAATAATTCAGAGGGGCTAATAATAATACTTTAACTATAGTAGTACAGTAGTACAGAAAATACAGTAGTAAATTCCGTCATCATTTACTGACCCTTGATTTATTCCAAACAATTCAGAGTTTTTTATTGTTTGTTTTTTTTAACAGAAAAGAAGATGCTTCAGAGAATGTTGAAACCTGTAACCATTGACTTTAATAGTATTTTTTTTTCTACTATGGATGTCAATGGTTACAGGCTTTCAACATTCTTCAATATATCTTCTTTTCTGTTCAACAAAACAGCAAAACATGGTTTGGAACAAGTCAAGAGTGAATAAATGATAGAAGATTATAATTTTGGTGAACTATCTCTTTAAATAAATAACCTTAGATTTTAATAATACATTAGTAAATGTTGATGCTGTGCAAGTATTTTTCATTCTTATTTCATAAATACATTAACTAACATGAACTATTGGAACATTATTGTGAAGTGTTCCCAATTTTGAAACTAAGCAGGCATTTATTAAATCAGTTTTAAATGTTTAATTTTCTTAAATAAAATAATAATCATAAAAAAGAAGCTATTTTAAACATTTCTCCCTAACTGAAGCGTAAATGAATCAAACCATTTATTGATACACTAATATTAAATTGCCGTCTAATCTGTGCATGTTCATTGAATTACTTAATGGTGAATTAGCAAACTGACCGATCACTGTTTTCTCCAAATTCTGTAGCTGGCATGACTGTGGCTCAGTGTCCCGAAGAACACGTGCACACAAGTTAGCTAGCAAAGGCACTGCAACTTGAAGGACATCATCCTCACTACAGTCGGGAGAATAGAGGACAACACTCTGGTCGTCAACATGGACTGGACAGCCACTGGTGCTTGGTTCCTCCGATGACAGGTATTGAGTCCAATCATCAATTTCTCGACCTAAAAAGAGAAATAATATGTAATAACTAAGGATTGTTTTATTCACATTTGATAATTGTAAGATTAATTTGCCATATTATTGCAAGCTGTACATTTTGAAGTGACTACTTGGGGTCTCGCAGCCCACCATTATAAATGTAAAACGCAGTCAAACAAACATACACTGAAAAAGTGACACTGCTGGATGTAAATGCTCAGTCGTGTTCTGAATACTGAAACATTGCACTGACAAACACATCTCTGTCAATGAAGGAAATCAATAAATATTCAGAGTGCTCCTTAATTTTGTACAATCATTTTTAGGTGATTGTCTTTTCTAACTGTTTGTCTTGCTCTTTTTTGAATATGGGTAAGAAATGTAAGTATTTGTCATTGTTCACAGCAAATGCTGTTCAAGATATTTTCATTCTTAATTCTAGTTAGCAAATACATTAAATAACATCAACTAATCAAACATTAAAGTAAAGTGTTTCCAGTTCTTTAATTATTTTAATCAGGCTGGCATTTATTCAAATGTTTTAATTTGTTATTATTCGCAATTGACAAAACAGAAAAGCACTTTTAAGTTTTGCCATTTTTCTCACAAACTTATTATTACACTGCTGGTAAACTGCCGTCTAATCTGTGCATGTTCATTGAATTACTTAATGGTGAATTAGCAAACTGACCGATCACTGTTTTCTCCAAATTCTGTAGCTGGCATGACTGTGGCTCAGTGTCCCGAAGAACACGTGCACACAAGTTAGCTAGCAAAGGCACTGCAGCTTGAAGGACATCATCCTCACTGCAGTCGGGAGAATAGAGGACAACACTGTGGTCGTCAACATGGACTGGACAGCCACTGGTGCTTGGTTCCTCCGATGACAGGTATTCAGTCCAATCATCAATTTCTCGACCTAAAAAGAGAAATAATATGTAATACCTAAGGATTGTTTTATTCACATTTGATAATTGTAAGATTAATTTGCCATATTATTGCAAGCTGTACATTTTGAAGTGACTACTTGGGGTCTTGCAGCCCACCATTATAAATGTAAAACGCAGTCAAACAAACATACACTGAAAAAGTGACACTGCTGGATGTAAATGCTCAGTCGTGTTCTGAATACTGAAATATTGCACTGACAAACACATCTCTGTCAATGAAGGAAATCAATAAATATTCAGAGTGCTCCTTAATTTTGTACAATCACTTTTAGCTGATTGTCTTTTCTAACTGTTTGTCTTGCTCTTTTTTGAATATGGGTAAGAAATGTAAGTATTTGTCATTGTTCACAGCAAATGCTGTTCATGATATTTTCATTCTTAATTCTAGTTAGCAAATACATTAAATGACATTAACTAATCAAACATTAAAGTAAAGTGTTTCCAGTTCTTTAATTATTTTAATCAGGCTGGCATTTATTCAAATGTTTTAATCTGTTATTATTCACACTTGACAAAACAGAAAAGCACTTCTAGGTTTTGCCATTTTTCTCACAAACTTATTATTACACTGCTGTTAAACTGCCGTCTAATCTGTGCATGTTCATTGAATTACTCAATGTGGAAGTGAACAAACTGACCAGTCACAGTTTTCTCCATATCCTGCTGCTGGCATGACTGTGGCTCAGTGTCCTGAAGAACACGTGCACACAAGTCAGCTAGCAAAGGCACTGCAGCTTGAAGGACATCATCCTCACTACAGTCGGACGTGGCACAGGCTGTAGGGACGTCGTCAACACTTTGAGCTGCAGCATGGTCTGGAGTTTGGAGGGTCGGTGCAGTGATGGGAGAATGAAGGACATCACTGTGGTCGTCAACATGGACTGGACAACCACTGGTGCTTGGTTCCTCCGATGACAGGTGTACAGTCCTATCATCAATATCTCGACCTAAAAGAGAAATAATATGTAAAAATTAAGTATGTTTAAAGTTTGTCCAGAAACTTGACGTGCTAGTTTGGAAATATAGAGAATAACTGAAGAAATATACTAAATCGACTTTAGATACACATTGACTGTATGTTACAGACTTTATAAAACTGATTAACAAAACTTAACAAATAAAGTTTTAAAATTAATAATAAAAAACTTCCACGATAGCGAGTGTAGGGCCCTATATGCAGACTTTGGTGTTCTTATAGCATCGGTATATGGTTTACCATCACTGGTCATCGTGGGTGGAGAGTTTTTCTCCACGGGTTCTTCTCGATGGGGTTTGTTTTCTGTCCTTCCCCGCAGGACTAAAGCAATTACTCCGAGTAATGTAAACATTTTAAAGAGTAAATAGTTAACAATTTGAAAAGCACAAATCTACGAACAAATAACTGTCAGTAAAGACGAAGAAAGTCTTCGTATATCTTCACACTACAGTGGATTGTGAGTAATGGCGCCTGTTCAGCAGAACGTCATCTTTAGAACTTGATGAAACGTGACATTCTAAATTCCAATAAAACCAAGCTGAAACGTGATTGTCCCGTTTAAAACTTCATAAAAAAATTTAATACAAAGTAATAGTCAATCATTTAGTGGCTTTTTTCGTGTGCGTGTGTGTGTGTGTGTGTGTGTGTGTGTGTGTGTGTGTGGAGGGGGGGGGGTGTTGATGGAGAGCTTCAATAAAATCGCTCAGCATATTCAAATTTGTCATGCATTTTTTCGAGTCTTCTTTTTGTATTCACATGATAAATTTATAAATAATCGGCAAGTTTTTAACCGTTTAAGAAAACAATTTATTTTAATCAAAACAATTATTTTGCTCTAAAAACTCTTTTTTTAAACTCACTAATGTGGTTGAGGTTTATCTGTAACGTTAGTAACGTTTTGTTAAAACCATCATTAGGGTGTAAGTTACTCATTTTTGCAGTATGGCCTTAAATTATTTTGTCCACTGAATCCACTTTGCCTCATAATTTGTATTTTTCACTCAGTGCAGTCGGGGACTACAGTATATTGACTATTAGCACAAGGTTAGTTGACTGAATGCCCTGACAGTGTTAGCATTCAGCATGAAATCAGAACAGTTTGCAGTTAAAACCATTTCCTACCTTTTCTTGTAACCCAATAAAATCCACTGCAATTAATGTGGACAGAGATGTTTAATCCACAATTATGATCATCATTTCAACCTGCTGGCGTTCACATCATCGGTCTAGTCGTTTCTAAATCGTTTTTGAATCGTGAGAGAGTCGATTCATTGACCTATTCATAAACACAACCGTTGCTTTGTTACTGAACAAATGTCTTAAGACAGTGTCTTACTGCCACCTACTGGCGGTTTTAGTTGTTACATGGAAAACCTAATTTTACTAGACTTGCATATTTTTCTTATTAATATTTTTATTTGAGAAATTATTTATTTAAAAAAATCCATAAAGGTAAATAATTCAATGGATTTTCAAAAAATCTAAATTGCAAATATTGCACCTAATGGGAAAAGTGACTGCAGTAGAAGTACAAGAGAGAATGCAAAAGGAAGAAGTATCCAACTCTGAAAAAGTTTAGGAACCGCTGATATACAGATAACTAGGTCATGACTTAGTTAAAAATTAAGTCTAAATCAATGCAAATGTAGTTTAACAATGCAGTGCAAGTATTACAATGTACAAACACAAAAATTCCAATACTGTAAACAATTAATTTCAAACTACACTAACTAATTATATATTATATATTATATTTTGGAAGTTATTTGCAAATGCAGCCAAAGCACATGATAGCATTAAATATGGCTGTAATATTGGTCATGTGGACGTTACTGCTTTTTGCCTTGGCACGACTGCTCACTTTTTGCTTACAATTAAAGTCTGTTTAAACGTAGTCTTGTCTGCATTTTGGAAATTGTTTTTCTTTTTATTGAGATATTGTTTCAAATGTTGCTTTCAATGGGGGTGTATGAATATATCATATATTAACTCATATTTAACTCAATATTTTGATTCACTCTGTCTAACAAGTCATCCGTGCTGTTGTTCTATTGGAATTTTATTTTCCAAATGGCCGACGTAGCAACAGAGTGTCACCTCTTGGTGGATCTAAGCTCTTTGATTTATTTATTTATTTATTTATTTATTATTATTAATTAATTAATTTTTTTTTTTATTGACTTCAATAACAAACATACAAAATCCAATTTTACACAAAACAATGATAATAACAGATCAGGATAAATAATATAAACATATAAAAAAATTATTAAAAGAGAAACCAAAGAGAGAAAAAAATAATAAAAAAATAAAACAATTAAACAAAGATACATACAAAACACAGATACAGCAAGAGGAAGCAAGGACTTACGTATCCGTGATATTTCCAAAATATTTATCTTAATAATCCAAGAATCTATCACTTTTCTTGTTAATAATTAGTCTAAGAGATTTAATAAAAAGATCCATTTCAATTAAAAAATGTGAAAAGAAGGCTGCGAATTGGAGAACTTTTGTTTGTGAATAAAATATTTTGCATACAAAATAAAAAAGTTAATAATGTAGTTCTCTGATATATCAGTTTTACCTTCATAGTAACAAATAATATCTTGAAGTTGTAAGTGTCTGGAAGAAGCAATGTATTTACCTATATGAAGATATAAGCTATAACAAAAGCTTTTTGTGTTTTCACAATGAAAAAATATGTCAATCAGCGTTTCGTCTTCATTTTTACAAACTGTGCTTGAACTATATCAATTTCCAAAAACTTTGCCAAAGTACTATTCACTGGATATATTTTATAAAGAATTTTAAAATGACCCTCTTTTGTTTTATTGGGAATGCAGCACTTATGAGGTAATAGCCAGGCTTTTTTCCAGTCTATTAGGTCAATGAAGGATGCAGTAAAATTTGCTCTTAGGAACATTATACTTTTTAATTTGAAAGATTTGTTGAATATATTTATTATTACATTTTTTGTCAAATATACTAACTCCATTTTAGATCAGCTCTGGTTCTTTAATAACATTTTCATTAAACATTAAATGAGATTTTATATGTTGAATTAGGGCTACAGAAATTGCTTTTTGCACAGCATTAAATTCTTTAAAAGGTAATGGAAAATTATTATTGGACATAAATTGTTCATAAGACAAGAAGTTGTCAGACTTATCAAAAATTGAGAGAATACCAATTATATTTTTGTTAAATCACGTGGATAGAAAAATACATTTATTTCTAATTCTAATATCAGAGTTGTTCCATAAGATGCATTTATGTGGTGAGAAATTGTGGGAACAACACAATTTCCAGGATCTATGCTCTTTGATACAATCCATAGATATATACATGTATACATTTATGGATACAATCAAAGTCCCTTTTACAAAGGCAGAGGACAGTAACTTTAAAATAAGGGTTAAAGGTCAAGTTTGAGCTTAAGGGTTTTTTTCATGTAGATAAATGTCATTACTTAAACATTTTCCAATGTCCTGTCTTTTACTAATTTGTATGGGCAACAAAAAAATCTTTGAAGTCATTTTTCTCAATTCAACACTCTAGTGAGTTAAGGTCTTTTGCTTTTGTAAGGCAGAAAAGTGACAATGACTATATCTGTTTTTTTAAAGACAGCTATAATAATATAACCTTAGTATATTTATTAACATTAACTAATAATAAACAACACTTGTACAGCATTTAATAATCATACTTCAACTTTTAATAATGCGTTATTAATCCAAAATGTTAATTTTGTTAAAATTAATACATTATATTAATAATAACAACAACGATGAATAACTTTATTTTCATTTAAAAATGAACAAAAGCCACATGTAATAATGATTTTTTGTGTCATCTTGATGTGATGTTTATTTTTCCTTTAAAAATATTAATAAACGCATTCGAGGCTGACTGTTGGAGATCTGCGCAAGTGCGCATGCGCAGCGGCGTCATTTTTAACCAAACAAGAGGACAGGGAAAAACTTATGGGAGCAAGAGATAACGTAAACACTTACTAAATCGACATTTATTTCTCAATTATGGCCGTGTAACGTAAAGTGTCACTAGTTAACAGTTTTGTATTTTTGTAAGTAATTTTAAAAATAAATGTTCTGTTGCACAAAACTCCCTGAAGCAGTTTGAGGTACATTAACTTAAAAATCTTGACATGATTCTGTATTTACAGTTTAACGTGTCGCCTAACACGACAAACAGCAAAATAATCACTTTTAATAGCTTTACTGAAACGACAGTACAGATTTTGATGCTTGAAAACGTGGTGAATTTCGCTTGTTCTCTGGCGCTTTTCACATTATGTTTATGTATCGTTAGTTACTGGACGTTATGCGACACAGATTAAGATATTAATTACATTATACAGAAGATAATAGCTTGGAGGTAATTTAATGTTGACCGCTGAACACAGTAAAGGTAATTTTGGCAGACTTTGTCAAATTAAAAACATTAACTCAGCTACCTGTTTCTTCATGTTAAATGCTATTATTAGCGCGTTACCTGTTTTCACCTTCATACTCTGGTTTCATTCACAAACACATCACAATCAGTAACATTAGTTCTAACAAATCGTAAATTAACCAATAGTTTTAAAGCTCTTTCTCTTTTGTGGTGTTGCTTGTCATTTAGCCAGAGGTGTCAGTGATTCAGTAAATCACTCATGCTTTAAATTTTATGTGGAGAACTGGTAAGTTACTTAGTTGCTTTCTAACTTGTTTAGAGCTGAAATTTTGATATAAACAGTGGTGCTGTTCTCAGTATTTATGCATAATTTTTTTAGTACCATACCATTTATACAACCATTTATCCAAACCAAGTGATACAGGATCAAGCGATTGGCCATCACGAAAGTTTGCTTTATGGCGACTGGTGAGTCTCCTTATTTTAGTGTAATTTAGACAAAGTTAAATTAATTAAAACTTTTTATAAATCCAATATATATCTTTCAGGCCTCTCTGTTGTCCTGGATGTGATGAAATGCTGGGACTTCCTTTGTCTTTATTGAATTTTTTGTGAGCAGTATCCAGCCGTACGGGCAGCACTAAGAGTCAGGTAATCTACAGAGTTGAACTGGATTACTGATAGCTGAGTGAATACCTTTAGGACAGTGTTTTTCATTCCTGGTCCTGAGATTCACAGCTATGTACATTCTGCATGTCTTATTTTACAAACACGCTAAGTTTAGTTCATAGAGCTGATGAGTCTCTGTGTTTAGTAATAGAGAAATACAACTGTAGT